GATACATGTGACGACGACGACGGCGCGAGTCGTCCGTATAATTCCGACGAATTCGTTCCAGTTCTGAAGAGAAAGACAGAGAGAGAGAGAGAGAGAGGAGAGAGAGAGATACGGTAGCTCTTCCAGATACAGCAGCTCTTGGCTGCACCACAAGAAGCGCCGCGCCGCGCCGCTGTGTAATTGTCTTCGGCTGCAAAAGCGCGCAGTCACACCTTATTTATAATCCTGTCGATTCATGACGCTCTATAATATCGCTCTGTTGCGCCGATAATTAGCTTTCGGACGCAGCCGTATTGTTCGCGCGAGGAAGAATCCATCGCGCATCTCGCGATGGATCTGAGCGAGTAAAATGCGGGGTAATTTTTACGAAATACGTATAATCATACGAGAGGCCGCGCGCGGCGAGAAGATAATTAAGACTCCACTGATATTTTGAAAATAAATGCGTTGTTTGTTTTCTCCCGGGAATCAGCCGCTCTTAAATCTTGTTTTTATTATGATTATTTATGCATGTGTCGCCCGAGACACAATATCCGGTTGTTTGTATATCCGCCCAGGCTAAATATCGTAAATGAATTCGATTGGTATACGACAGCTCGATGTAAATCAAAATGCTCGTTATAACGAAATCTCCGACGGAGAATAGATTGCGCTCGTATTCTTCACATACATAGTATTTTTGGTTTCTTGAGAGTTCCACTCCTACCGGGACATTCATCAAAATCGCGAGGAAATTTTTCACGAGTCCACCTCTCTTCCGTTTCTCTCCTTTTTTTTTCTGTTTCAATGCGTATCGATGATTCGCCGGCTATTTAGCATCTCCGACTTGCTAACGACTCATTAAAGCCGAAGGGTAATTTTTCACTTGCCCGCTCATTAATATTCCTTCTGTGCCCGCGAAGCTCTCGAGGCCCGTTCGCCGTGTGTATAGCGCGAGAAACGCCTGGAATCGTCATCGAATCCTCGTCCTCGCACTCTCCTTATGGTCAGAGGTAATGAACGCGCGGGATAATAATGCGGGAAAGGATCCTCTGGGACTCGCGTTCCGGGATATCGAGGACACTCTCGACGCCGCCCGGGGAGACGAGCGTAATTTCGTGTGTGGCTGCAGTCGGCACGAAGAAGTCGATTGAAAATTGTTGCGCCCCGTAAAAAGCGCGCATAACGTACGTGCCGCGAGAGTTAATTCGCTGTAACCTATCCTTCCCCCGACTCTTCTCCCCCGCGCGTCATCGGAAATATCGTGCAAACACATTTCGACTTTTTTTTTATTGCGATTATAGGTACGCAAACCTATTATAGGTGTGAAAGCTATTCGCTATTGTGAAAATGATCGTTATTACGCTCATTGGATCATTACTGTGATCATCGGTATAGATGCGCTGTAAAGGGTATCATTCTCCCTTTGCCGCCAGCGTCGTCGATTAAATCGGCGTAATCGAGATTACACCTGGCTTTCAATCTTTGATTACTGAGAGATAGCTGAGGCTAAGGGGTTGCGAGCTCTCTGTTCCTGTCTTTCTCTCTCTCCTCCCCCTCTCTCTCTCCTCTCCTCTCTTTTTCTCTTTTCTCTCAGGAAAAAGTTATTTCTACGAATCGACTTTCTGCGCGCCCATCGCGCACCGCCAATTACCGAGCACCCTGTATACTCGCACGGCGCGACGATATCCCGCGAATGCCGGGCGTAACCGCGTCGAGAATTGGGTGCCGGGCGTAGCGAGCGGCAACGGGAGATACCAGCAGCTAGAAACGACCAGGAGCAGAGAGAGAGAGGTTGGAAACTGTGATGCCCGCAAAAAGCATGGCAGACAGCGCCGATCGTTTTTGCTCGGCGTCAGCCGCGTTCCTACCGCCGCGTCGTCGTACTTCGTGGTGGTACATCGTTCTACCCTCTCGCTCCCTCTCACCCCCTTGGTTCTCTCCCGCTCTCGCATTCATCCTCCCTTCTCGCCTCCCTTCTGCCCTCTTCGTTCTCTCTCGGGCATAAGTTCCCTCCCTCTTTCTCTCCCTCTCTCTCTTTTTCTATCTCTCTCTCTCTCTCATGCCCTCTCGCTCGCCCTCTCGCCTTCTCTGTGCCTTCCTCCTTTCGCTGTGACATTCGGGTTGTCGCGATCCATCTATCTGTCCATCTCTCCATCTCTGTTCCCATGTTCCGTTCGCCTCGGGATCGTGCAAACGGATGGGATTACCTTCTCCTCCTTCTTCGCGGTTTACGCATCCAGGGAAATGGATTACATCGTATCGCTGCGAGAGAATGCGAATAGCGGCATCCGGTGACGAAGGCGCGGTTCTGAAATCGAGATTTCGTCATTAACTTCATCATCGGCTGTCAGGATTGAAGCCGGAGGGCGATATCGGAACAATCGGAATTATCGCTTTCGACTCACGCGAACGGGATTCATGTTCACTTGATGGCTCTAATTGCCTTGATCAGTTATTGCAGGCCAAACGGCAATTCAGCGCATATTGGAACTTTTCGTCTAAGTTCGCGTATAAGATAAAAATATGAATTTTTACTTTTATCTGTTCTGTATTGTTTACACGAATGTCCTGGATTGACAATTTTGACAAGTATTTTAATCGATCGAATCGAAAAGCGCAGCTTCTCGCAGCTCAAGAAGCGTGGTCCAAGTATCGGATACGTTTCGATTTCGCGCGTTCTCCTCTCCTCGCAGTCTTGGATCCCGAGTGTATTCCTCGAGCTCCTTCTTAGGAACATCTCCGCGGCCCCTGACAGGCTTGACTAATGGTCATCCTGCATCCGCCCTCCGGCTTTATAGTTCTCCGTCTCTTTCTCCTTTTCTCTTCTCCGCGATGCTCACGCAACGCGACATCTCCGTCTCTCTCTCTCTCCTTTCGCAGCATCGGGGATATCTACCGCTTCGAGAATGTTCTAGTTCGCTAACGAAAGGGATCAACGAGTTTTCTGACTCGTCCAGAAAATGATCTCAGAATCGGCGAATCGCACGAATGTTTCGACCGCTCACATTCTGAGAAAAGCTTACAAATTTGTGTGAACTAAAACTCAAATATTTTGACAATTTATTTCAACGAATCTTATACGGGATAAATATTTTTAAATCGTCAAAATATTGAGAAAAAATATCTTATTATTGTTATGAATATTCGCTATTATATAGGATAATTAAGAACCTGTGCAAGAAAAGCATAATTGTCTGGTTACTTGTAAGATTTTTTTTCTCTCGTATCCTTTATAGCTGGTCCCGACCAACCCTGTACACGGTGAAATGAATTCTCATGGAAACTCTTTTTCCGTCAGCTGTACAAATTAATTATTTAGCCCTGTTACTTTCTGAAACTCGAAGAGTTCTGAAAAATGAGCTAAAATGGCTGAAATACAAGCATAAAGTGAAAATGTACTCTATAATTTGTAAGATTGCACTCCTTTTTAGTGAAAGCACATTCTTTCCGGGTGCAAGGATCACTATCCATAGGAGTGAATTACATCACTACACTTTTGAATGGGAAATTCAGGTAGAGAAATTTCTGGTAGAGTCGGACGGTCTTTTGAGCGAGCATCTGCATTCGCCCAAATTAAAGACAATTGCAATCCCTCTAATATGTATATGACGAAACCATTATATAAAATTTAAAGAGTACTATACAAATACCTACTTTTCATTCATCTGCATTATAAAAGAAATGATGGAAACATCGTGAGAAAAGATCAAACTTTCCTCTTTTTTTTCTTTTTTACGAGAGCAGTAACCTGATTAAATAGACACTCCAACGTCTTATACCCCCAAAGATTCACTTTCGTCCTTCTTTCGATTTAAACAAGCTGAGCTGTAAAACTGTCTTTCCTACAGAAAAATTTGGCTTGTAAGCCATAAATGGGTATACGGAATATTATTTATTGACTTGATTATATGTCTTCCCTTTCGAGAATTTCAAGCTGGCCAGAATGACAAAGGCGCGGCTTATATCGTCTGGTATATTATCGTCAATATCTCTCCGGGCCAACGTAATAACTTGTACCAAGTTTTTCGATCTCACACACAAGGCGGAATATATTGCAATCACGCTGCAAGATTAATTGCGAAACGAATATTGACCCATTCGTCGTCAAATTTTATGAAACACTTTCGCAGTTTATTATTTATATACGTTATAACATCGATGCAACTCCACTCTATCCTCAATAGAATACGCGATCGTAAAATTCCGCACGGTCCTCGTAAATTAGTTAAACGAGAAGCTCCGATGGAACTCTCCGTACGAGAGAGAGAATCTAAACCTGCAAGAATGTAAAAAAGCGCAAAAAGAGGAGGGAGCGTGAATTATTTATTCGAAGCATCCTTAGAGATCGTCGCTTGTTTTCCACTTTTTTAGTATTCCACTTTTTTATATCTCTGAAATTTTTATAATTTAACATTTAAATAAAAGTTACGTTAAACGGGCTTTTTTTTATTCTATTGGACGCTTTATCGTTAGATCTCTTCTGTTTCTCGATACAAATCGCTAAGCTCGCTCAACAAATATTTACACCTGTGCGCATCGCCTATGCACGCTTACAGACGGTTTCATGAATTCTGACATGTGATATGCGCGCAATTTACAATAACAACGCAATAGCAGCGAACAACAGAAGGAAGAGATATTCGTCCGCACATTTTTCGATGTTATCGACAATATCGCAGATTCTTCGTTTTTTTTTTTTTTTTTCGTTACAGGAAGGGAATAATAATAATACCTACGCTTTTCGACGCATTTGGGCGTAAAAACAAAACGCCCGAACAAATAAATTCGCGTATCGTTTTTAATTAAAATAATATATTCTCTTTGATTTTCCATAGAATATTTGTCTCGTTAAATAATGAGAAATACCAGGTAGAAAATGTAATACGTGCAGCAACGTGATAAAAATTACGATTGAAGTATCCAAAAGCGTAATAAAATTTATAATTCGAATATTCTTTCTAATACGCAAATATCACCGATTCTCTTCTCTCTCCAACGGCTGGATTTCTGTGTTTCAGTAAGCAAGCTGTGTTCGACGGAAAGAAAGCGATTAGAGGCGGCATACCGTTCGTTTTCCGTAAGTATAACAAATGAAGCGATATCCTATATACAGCATAGTAGTCCTTCAAACGTCCAGAGAACGTCTTTCGTCCTAAGAACGTTCTCAGGACAATCCTCGAACGATAGTCTAAAGTTGCATGGAGAGGAAAACAAAATAATTCGAGCAAAGTTTAAAGGGCGAAGGCACAATCTTATACGCGCGCGCGCGAATTCGAACGGCTGGTAAAAAGAGCCAATTCGAATACCGTGATTTAAAAATTTCGATGGAAGATCTAATTCAGAAATTTAAAAAAAAACAGCGATATTTAACGATCCACGGTTGACCGATGCGCATTTACACGAAGAAACGATGCGCCTTATCCCCGCAGCACAATTCGGATCATGGACGTTCGGGCCGCCCCACGGCTTCGCCAGGATCATACGTTGGAACGTGGAGAAGTCGCCGGAGCGATTGCCCAGCGGGGACATCGAGGCGGTATTCTCGATAATGGACAGCGAATTCACGCGATCGCTGTGGAACTCACAGTTCAGGCTAACGTACAGGCTAATACTGCGCGAGAAGGAGCTGCATTTCAATATCGGCGTGTACAACCCGAGCAGAGAAGACACCTTCAGCTTTAATCTGCTCCTACACACTTACTTCAAGGTACCCGACGTCAGGAGATGCCAAATCACGGGACTGCACGGCTGCACGTTCGTCGACAAGGTAAGTCAAAAAAAACCTGCTTAATTATGAGCAATTAAAAAATTTGTTCGTAAGATTTCGCTGGAAATTTTACTAAGTTAAAGCTCGCGGTAAAAAAAGATCGCTTATTTTCAATTAATCGTAATTAGCCGGTTATTAATGACTCGGCGTTACCGGTGGAGAGTCGACTTTAAAACTAATTGCGCAAAAAGATCTATCGTTGGGTACACTTAAAGATGAGTCATTGAAAAGTCGACCTGGAGCGGTGTGCATTATGCTCCGTTAAGTCCAAGACACATGTCGAAGCGATTATCCGCGCACGCAATCCGCTGCCAATGCCTCACACAAGTTGTGTTTTCATTCACGCGCACAGACCAGGGAGAACCAAATCTTCCAAGAAGGCCGCGACGTCGTGACGGTGTGCGAATGGACCGACCGGATCTACCAGAACACGCAGCCGGAGCATATCATCACGAATGTCGTTTCCGGTAGGAAGATGCGCGTGCAAAAGTACAACTTTCCCGACACGGTCGTTTGGAATCCCTGGCAGGAGAAGGCGCGCGACATCCCGGACTTCGGCGACGACGAATTTCCCAACATGATATGCGTCGAGAGCGGCCACGTCAGTAGTCCGGTTATACTGCTGCCAGGAACGGCCTTTGAGGCGAGCCAGATATTACAGGTGCGTGCGTATTGCTATATCCCACTTCGCCGCGATTATCGCGTAACGCGAAATCGTGCCTGCCGACGTAATTAACGGTAACCGTATAGACGTATCAACGTAATATCGTTGTAATACAATATAAATCAAGTCTATACAGGCGTGCGTGTGTAACGCGAAAATTCGAACTATCGAAACTATAATAATACCGCGGTTGAAACCCAATGACGTATCGAGTGTACGAAAATCGTATTGATCTTACAGTGATATTTTGATATTCCAGATAAAATTTCTTACTAACGATTCCACCTACGGATGGATTTGATCGATTATCAGGCTTTAATTCATTCTGCTTGTGGCGTGCTTGCAATTAATTGTGTGACGATCGCTCTACGCGAAATAGCTACTAATAGAGAATGATAAAAAACATTGGATCAAAATCTTTTTTTGCATTTTATTCTCATGAATCGTTATTCGATTGCAAAAGATTTCTGGCTTTTTATAGGTAAGATTTCAATTGGCAAGACAGTTATTGAAAGATCTTATGCGAAACGAGAATAAGATTTATTCTTATGCTCTTATTCCGAAAATATATTTCTGTGAAATTTATTATTAAAGTGAAGAATTTATCAATACTTATGTATGTTATTAAAATTAACCGATTATTGTTATCTATCAAATATTAATAAATGTTTCATATTGCACAATCTTTTAATACTGAAATTCAGATCGTTGCAAGTTTCTTGTGGAAAACGCTGCATACAATCTTACAACGACGTAACGCTATATTCTGCATAAAGGTATAAATAGCGGAATGCAAGTTGCAAATGTCACAATATTTATTCATCACCGTGATAAATATTCTTGCAAATTATAATTTGCCACGTGTTTGCATACGTACAGACGTTAGGCCTTTTCAATACGACTTGGAATATGATTTCGATGATATAATTTCGGGATATACAAAACTTGAAACAGGAGAAGTTTAGAATAATTGAACACTATTCGCCTGACAGTTAAATGTTACGACGAGCGGAGCCGCGTTCAAGAAATCTGTGAACTGTTTTCCATCGACTCGTTCCAGGTGATGTGAGTAGAGAGTGGACCGACGTCGCACGTCAATGCCGGAGGCGGTACCAATTCGCTGCTTCCGACGTCCTCAGCATCGTCCGCGGTCTGGCCAACGGGCACGGGGTGGCTTTACATGCCGCCCCCGCCGCCACCCCCGCCACCACCGCCGCCACCTCCGCCGCCCCCGTCGTCGCATCCATCGCACCCGTCGCATCTGCATTCGCATTGCATTGCCCAGACTTGCACGATATGTTCTCTGAATCTTTAGGAATCCTTAGACCTGAAGTCTGCAAAACTGTGCGAGTCCCCGGAAATCTCTTCGCTTCCCACTCCCACGACCGGTCATTTCCTCGAAAGACTTCGAGATCCCCCAACACCGGAGAATGTATCGCTTTTTTTTTCCGAATCCGTCGAGGAAGCGATGACCTTTGTAGTAAAGGCAATTTAGTTAATGTCGAAGAATCTGTCTTCCTTCATTTCGCTTATTTTTATCTTTATGCTTCGTCCGTGCTTTACGATAGGAATCACGAGAAAACTAAAATAATCCAAAACGGCCAATCGAATATCGCGAACGTGAGGGATCAATCGATCTGTCTCTCTTTGTTTTCCGCCGTCCAAATAGCAATCCGATACATAGAATTTATAAATGAGTCAATTATATTGTCCGAGAAAACAAGATTGTTTTCTCGTTTGCAATATATTTATTTTCTCTTCATTAAAGATATTAAAAAATTGCAGGGAGGTACATGTATAAGTATTACACGAAAGAGAACAGAATCCCTTTGTTAGATTTTTTAAGAACATTGTCTTAAAAAAAAAAAAAAAAATGAGCGAAACTAAAGTTCATTCGATTCGACACACATATATACATTCCATATATAAATGGAAAGTAAAAAAATATATATATGTCCCGTTTCATACTCTCGACTCATCACGTTTTTAGATATTAGCACGTGGTATATTGTTTATAGAAGTAGATTGATATTAGATATGTATAAGCGATTTTGTTAAATTTACGTACGACAAAACTTTCCCTACAGAGTTTTTAAGTATTTTGATGTAATTACTCGTTCGTTTCGACAAACGACGATTCGATCTAGTTTACTGTACATTTTAAATTAGTAAACACCAGAAAATGCACTTGAGACATATTTTGCGTTATATGAGCTACAATAAAAATATTCTCAAAAAAAACTATATATATTATATATATAGACACAAATTTTTTGAAAAATATTCAAAGGCACTATACTTAATTATTTTTTCGAAGGCAAAAAGTCTGGCTTAAATGCATTTTTACTTACTTAAATTCGTTACATGTACAAACTGTTAGAAAATTTTTAATGTTCAATTCTTTTAATTCGAAAAATTCTCTTTCAGTCTTGCGCTAAATTGTATATGCAAATTTTAATTAGATTTTTATACGGGATCTCTGATTTAAATAAGACGTTAAGAGATTTGAACATCTTTTCTGTTGCGTACTAAACGAAAAATGATTTTAAAGTAGAAAACGTTTGCTATTATTTAATTAAATAATTATATTCTAAAGAGATTCGGAAATTAATTGGATTAGATTTATCAAATTTATTTAACAAGAGATTTTTTTTCTTGCAATTTTATAATATTTTAACATTAAGAGAATCAATTTTATGTAATTTTTCCAAACATTACGGATAAATAGCGTGCTATATGAATTTGTTCAATTTATAATTTACCTATGAACAATACAAATATGGTGCTATTGTTACAAATGTAGTGTTGTAATGATAAGTCGCAACACACAACACACATACATTATGTACTAAATAAGCTCAATCGACATTTTTCCGTAATGCTGCAATTTTAAACGTAATTTTCCTTCAAGAACTTTCGATACTATTGTCCCAAAATGTTATTATCGCATACCGATAATATTTGTTCATATATGCAAGAAAAAAAAACGTTGCATCATCGAAATAGACATATAAGATAATATTTACTGTAATATTATATTACCATAAAAATTGCATGTGTATACGGAGAACTTTGTAAAGACATTGACCATTTAATAGGAAGACGAAGGAAATAGAAAGCAACATTTTGCCGCCCAATTTTAGATAATTGTATTATTATTAAGGCATCACGAGAACTTGAGACATTCTATTCTAAGGCTCAGTCGGAACTCAATTTAAATAATGGCGAATTTAATAAGTTAATTAAATTCTTTATATCGAAAAATAATTAAATTTCTTAATAAAAGCATCGAGCATTTTTTTAACTCAATTGTGAATTTGACGGAGATAAATTAACACAACGCAGGACCATATATTTTAATATAAATTTTTTACTTACGGGAAAGAACAGCTTATTATTATCATCTTAAATTAAGCCGTTAGTAAAAAAACGCGCGAAATAAATTTACTGCATTGTAAAGTTAATTGTATGGGTGAAAAAGGACTCGGCAAGAGATCGCACATGTCTCTATTTTATATAAATATATAATCTACACCAACGCGCGCGCGCGTTAGTTTTACAGCCGGAATACATCCGGAAGGACAGTTTTTTACGTTACATAGATTCCCGACGTCACGTACGTAATATTGAAGTATCACATGTATAAATTCTTCAAATGAACTATCCCATATTAATAGTGTACTATTATAATTAAGTGAATGCTCAATATAGCGCGCTGTTCCTCGCATATTATAAACTTGGAGTCAAAGAAAGAAAAAAAAAAAAGGATAGACGAGTGGAGCGTTCCTGCTTAATAGATGTGTTCTATAGAAACGCGAAAAAAAAAAACAGCCTAGTAAATCCGAAATACAATTAATAAGCCACTCGGAAATAAAGGAACTGAATTTCGGCGAATTTTTCCAGATCGCAGACGAATCGCTACTTTCACGGAGGGTTTTGGTCTTTAGAGGCTAGACAATACGTTCGTCATTTAGCATAGTGTACATTCTTCGTTTTTTCCCCCCTTTCCCCGTATTAGCGATTAAGGTCCGGTCTTCCACCGCTGTGAACATTTATCGAGATCACGTCGTACGCCATTCTCATTCGACTCAATGTTAATATCCATGAATATTTGTGATTAAAGCGAAGTTATGGAATCGCGATTAAAATTAGTACGTTAAGAAAGTGTACTCTTTTTGGGAAAGTGCAATAAAAATGTGGGAAATAATTGTATCGATCTCCCTAATTTTCTCTCTCACAGTTTAACAATTTATATTTAATTATAAAATTATCATCAAACGTTATCATTTATCAGAAGCGACACCGCTCGTCGCACGGAATAGGACGGAAGATTTAAGAATTGTACCGTTGCATTGAAAATTTGAACAATTTATTACAAGCAAGTGGGAACGATAGTAGCACATGTGTGTCTAATGATCGCCCTTGTTACACATTTAATTACATAACATATTAAATAAGTCTGAATGTACAGATTGGAAATTAGCTTTACTACAAATATATCGTATTATTTTAATATATCCTTATACCTAGAGAAAAACCAGTCAAACGCGTGTCGTCTCCCCTTTGACTGAATTTAGGTGTAGGTAACGTCAAGTTTTGTACACACTGATTATAACTGTGTTTTTTCGTGAGCAACGTGTAAATGACAAGATAATCGAGGCTAGGTCCTGTGACGTGTCATGCTGGCTGACACGCCCGCGTACGGCCGACAATGGAAAAATTCTTTAACATCAAAAACATGGTGATTCCCACTTAGGGTGCTCCCAGCAGTTAGCATCGACACCTGTATCCCTTATCGTCAATCGTTTTAGCGTAGCCATTGGTTGCGATATATGTATATATACCTATATATATAGCCGTTCTTATCGTAGAAATTTATTACAACTTCCCCCTTTCGAATTATCTCGCCGCCTGCTTCGACGTATCTCCTGGTTCGCCCTGCTTCTTAAGTTGCTTCTCCCTCATTCGTTCCGCATCTCTGTAGGAAGAAACGTCACATCCAGATTACTTTTACAATTATAAAAATTACTTCGATTCTCGAACGGGAAGAGGAGGAGATGCACTCCCAAGGACGTACCGTGCTTTACGTTGTTCCAGCGAAAGACCCTTATTACTGTCCTGCTCGGAGGCTGCCTTCTTTACGGTTTTTTTCAAATTCTTGGCTCGTGCTAGCTCACGCTGATTTCCACCTGCAACATAATCAAGATTTCTTTGAGGGACTCGAGCAAGGTGTTTAATAAAATTTCTACTTTATTTTAACCCCGCAATTCTTTCCCGGTCTCTACTTCCGTCCCCATGATTCACTCGCCTCGAGGGAGGCGCTCTTGAAAAGAGCGCGCCGATCGCCCACTGCGCGCATGCGAGACGAAATCGCGTTCCTTCGCGACGGAATTAATGAAAAGATAAGGGCATACGTATGTATACATCACGTGCGTAATTTATTGAGGGCGATCGGTGACTGCGAAAAGAGACTCGATCCACGATCGGCGATATGCCGTAATTTTGCTCCGATTATCACTTGACAACCTTCGTATCCGATTCGATATCGCACAAAATGGCGGCGACTAATATAAATATATATATATATATACATATATATATATCTGACGCTACGTCATAAAAACATATCTTCCACCATGTTTACCCTAAGTCTACGGAATCGAATGCTGTCAAAACTGACGAGATTGTAAATAGGGAGAAAAAATGTCGACTTCGTGCGCTCGGAGCGCGAAATCGCGTCGCCACACAGCGCGATTCCACGCGTGCCGTCGAGGTTAACAGCGAGAGGTCTTCAGGGAGGGAGGCGAGGGAGGGAAGCGAGACACGTGAAAGACCCGTCCCGGAAAACTTAATGAGGCCACTCATCGAACTGCGTTTCCCGGTTTTTTTTCCCCACCACCTTTCAAAGAACGTTTTTCGAGTTTCTCGATCTCGCGATACCCCGTCAAGACTCACGCAGAGGGACCCTCTTTTTTTCTCTTTCTCCTTTTTTTTTATTCTTTAATCGGTGCAATCGTCATCATCCAAAAATATTGACCTTTCCTTCGTAAACAGCCTGCAGAACGAGATTTCTCGAGGATACTCGGAGCGCATCGTCTACTGCCGCGGCGGTGTGCTCCTTTCTTCCTCGACGAGAGTCGCCGACGTATCGCGACGATTCCCCGCCGCCGGGGAACGTTTGCTCGCGCGCGCGACAAATCTCGTGCGAGAGATTGCGCGCGGTCACCCGTGATCGCGTTACACGCGGCGACCTTATATTTTTCAACGTTTACAACATGACAATGGCAGCCGTGGAAGTTTCACGGGCCAAGACTCTCTCTCCCGTCGTCGTTTCCTCTCTTTCTCATTCTCTCTCTCTCTCTCTCTCTCGTCGAGTTGTCGCGGCGCGATCAGGTAACGACCCGACCTCGGTGACGTACGGCTGGACTTACGGGTCATTTTTTTTTTCTCAGTTCTTGATCTCCGATAAGCAAGCACTTTGTGAAATTCGACCACCCGAAATTCGGTGCGAACGCACGACCCGACGATACGCGCCACACACACCAACGCACACGTCGCGTTGCGCGCACACGCGCACACACACGGTTCCTGCGGACTAATTTCCAAACAAAAATAAATATGGTTCTGCGTCGTCTCCGTAGCCCCCTCCATCCCACCACACCCCGCCGCGAGGGGCAGAATGGACTTGCAGTGATGCCACGTGTTCCGATCTAGTGACATTCGACGTGTCGCATATTCGATATACGCCTGTTGTCGCTGGATTAGAACAGGAATGATATATGCCATTATATGCTAAGACTAAATTACTTCGAATTTCTGAGTGACACATGTTCGCCCAGAAACGCAAATTCTAACTTACGTGGATTAAAACTCGATTTTGCTTAAAAAAGAATCATCACGTTGCGAAGCTATCGTTTATAAAAATTTAAAAAAATAAATTTTTTCGATCTTGTTCCCTTCACCATTGTTTGATTTTATTGTATATATAATTTCTTATAATGCAATAAAAAAGATAGTATTTCGCATGCATACTTAAAACTATATATTTCTTGTACTTATTTCCAAGTTTATTTCAAAGATGGCTTGATATTTTCTGAATATCTTAAGAAAAAGAACGCGTTTATACATAAAAAACGCAACTATGGCTCGGATCTACGAATTCAATGATATAAACAGTTAATTTTATTTAATTAAACTAATTTTTGCCTTTATATTTATCAAAACATCCTTCACATCTGTTTAACAATGCAATTAAATTTAGAATATACATTCCAAAAACACGTTTCTATTTGAATTTACAAAAATAAACAAAAAACAGCTTACGTATTTTCGAGACAAAAGAATTCGAGACTTAAAGAAAAGAAGGCTTAAACGCTAATAAACGCTCAGGAGCTGCATGACGTGCAGGCGTCCCCGTTCTTACGCGAGCAAACGAGCATCGCCTCCAAGTTCTTACTCGCTTGCTGATTTAATTGTTTTCGCTTTTCGGCGTCGTCGACGTTGTTCTCCTTGGTGGGTGACTGAATAGGACTGCTGATAGTAGAGGTGCTGGCATTCGAGGCATTCGATACGGAATCGCGATTTTGCAATTTCGACTTGTCCACTGTAAATTGAATAGGATTTGCGGCCGGCTTCGTTCTCAAGTAGTACATGCCAGTCTTTAGGCCCTGTAAGCGACAATTCATTTTTATAGGAAAAATTCGTGATTTACGCGATTTCATTAGATTTCTTATTCCGTGTGTTGACGAGATTGAACTTATAAGAATTGGACATTTACATGAGTACCGTACAAAAGCAAATTTTGAAACGAATAAAATAATTGTGATATCACTTACGCTTTTCCAGCCGAAGAAATGCATCGACGTGAGCTTCTCAGTTGTTGGATCTCCTATGTGGACATTCAATGATTGCGACTGATCGATGAAAGCTCCTCGGTCGGCCGCCATTTCGAGAATTACTTTCTGTGGTATCTCCCAGACAGTCTTGTAAAGCACTTTCAGATCGTCGGGAATGCGATCGATGTTCTGCAAGATGCACGCTTCGTTAAAATCGCGCTAAAATAATTGGATCGCAACAGGAATTTCAGAGATATTTAAGACGAATTTACTTACTTGAACAGATCCAAAATTCGCGAGTATCTCGTTCTGCATATCTTTGTCCCATAAATCTCTGGCAGTTAAGTCTCGCAGTAGGTGCGGATTGACGATGACAAATTCTCCGGACAGCACGCGCCTTACGTAGATGTTGCTTGTGTACGGCTCGATCGATTCGTTATTCCCTAAAATCTGCGCCGTCGAGGCCGTTGGCATAGGTGCTATTAAAAGCGAGTTCCTTACTCCGTGTTTCGCGATCTTCGCCTTCAATTCATCCCAATCCCACAGATTCGTCGGCTTGACGTTCCACATGTCGTACTGGAGGATCTGGAAGAAAAAAAAATAGCTCAGATCTACGAATTCTGATGTAAACGGTGTTAATTTTATTTAATTTACCTAATTTTTGCCTTTATATTTATCGAAACATCTTTCATCTGTTTAACAATTAAATTTAGAATATACACTCCAAAAACACGTTTCTGTTTGCATTAATTTACAAAAATATAAAATTTCATTGTACAACTGCAACCGCGCCGACAGAATGTCATCCGCAACAAAAATATCAATACTTACGCCTTTGCTGACCGGACTACCCTGATACGTTTCGTAAGTGCCCTTTTCCGCAGCTAACTCGCAACTAGCTTCTAAGGCACCGTAATAAAGCGTCTCGAAGATTTTTATGTTGAGCTCCTTCGCCTCTTTGCTCTCGAAAGAATACCGCATTAACAGGAACGCATCGGCTAGACCTTGTATCCCGATACCTAAGATACACAATTTTCAATTTTATCGTATATTCATTAATCACACGAAACTTATGGCAAAAACCGACCAAATGTCATCTTACCAATAGGTCTGTGTTTCCGATTAGATGTTTTCGTCTCCTCGATAGGATAAAAATTAACGTCGATGACTTTGTCCAGATTACGAGTGACGATTTTTGTGACAGTTTTAAGCTTGTCAAAATCGAAAGTTTTCGTGTCCGTATTGACAAACATGTTGACAGCGATAGACGCTAAGTTGCAAACGGCGACCTCCCCAGGACCGGAGTACTCAACGATCTCGGTACACAAGTTGCTGCATTTGATAGTGCCGATATGCTGATGATTCGATTTTCGATTGCAATGATCTTTGTAAAGCATATAAGGTGTCCCGGTCTCTACTTGGGATCTGAGAATGGCGATCCACACGGTCCGAGCCTCCACTTGCTTCCTGTAGCGACCTTCCTTCTCATATCTAGAATTTTTCATACAAATTTATGTAATGATTTTTTAGTTAGTGCATGAAAAAATACCAGTTATAATGTAGTTAAATAATAGATATAAAAGCAATGACTAATGTATACCTAGTATACAATTCTTTAAATTCATCGCCCCAAACATCAGCCAAGCCGGGAGATTCACAAGGACACATCAAGCTCCACATCTCGTCGTTGTACACACGTTCCATAAAAAGATCTGGTATCCACAGGCCGTAGAATAAGTCTCTGGCTCGCATGTTTCCATCACCTGGGTGTTAAAAACCGTATATCACATATATTAT